CATTTTTCAAGGTCATTTCTAGAAAGCAGTCTAGGTGGTAGCATGAAACTAGCTGTTGGAATTCAGGCATAAAGAGGTTGTTTTTCAGGATTTTCAGCTCTACCAAACACTTAGGGTGAGATTTTGAAAAATGCCCAAGAGATCTGTGCACATAAATCCCAGGGACACTGGCTCACATTTCCACATTCACTGTAAAAATGTGTGCTTCACTGCCACCTCACTAGAGTAATGAGTGGAATATTGCTTCATCAGGCTTCTTTGAGGCTTAATCACATTGTAAAATGGATAAGTACGTCTCGGGTCTCCCTGTGACCTCCCTGTATGTCTACATTCATGGATGTAACTACTTACAGTGAAAGGTAGCAGTGAAAACATAGGTGAAGAAAGGATCAGAAACAAATAAGAAATAAAAAGGTTGACCTTTGTATTCAGCCATAGAAAAACCTCTCACAACCAATCTTTCACCTTCAAAGCAATTTTTTCCTGTCTTTTTTACAATACCAGCTTAGAAGAAAGAGAGCATAACTGGTTTGCTCATAATTTATGTTACTTATAATATCTCCTTTTAAAAACAAAAGGAGTGGCCAGGCACCAAAGAAGAAGACTTTTCTGTCTTTGTCCAGGCTGCTGAGTTGTAAGGTAGAGCCCTCTAGAAAGGGTGGGAGATTGCGTCTTCCATGAGGGAAGCTGAGCACCTCCAGTTTGAAGAAGCTTCTGGAGTACAGGAATGCAGAGGCAAAGGAAGGGTCTGCAATGCAAATGGAAACAGAGACTCCTGACAAAAAGGAAGAAACAGAAAAATAGCCAAGACAAGATGACGACACACTTTTTGCTACCAGGCACAGAAGAAGTGGATGTGAAGATTTTGCTGCTGTTCAAGACACTTTATTTGAAGTTTCTGAAAGAGAGAGAATTGCCTTGAGAAGACACATGGAGGAGAGAAAAGATTTCTTTTCAGATCCTTTTAATTTAAACCTATCTCACCCAGGCACTCAGATTTTCCTGCATATTTAAAGTTACAGCACAAACTGAAACAATATGCAAAAAAACCCACCCTTGCTTTAGAGACTTTTCCTGTGCTTTTTGTCCTCCTACTTTATGGAAAGGGTATAGACACCTTCCTGCAATGTTCTGACCAACGCAGGGTCCCACCACATGGAGACATAGCAAAGAAAGGCCCTATCAGACCTTATGCGGCAAAGTGAACATGTGCCACATTTGCTGCTGCTTCTCTGTCTGGCTGTGAAAGAATTGATAGGTGGACACTTCTCAATCCACTTCTGGAAGGAAAGCATCTGTCCTGTACTTGCAATGAATTAAGAAGCAAATAGGAGTGGTACCTTCCCCTCTGGATCCTGTGCAACTTTTAAAATGTCACATGACAAATACTTTCCTGCATCACATTTCTAAAGTGCAGTTGTTCAGCACTGCAGTGTCTTTCCTAGTATTACCTATTTTCCTAGGTTCTTCCTTCCTCTTACAATGACCATCCTTACCCCATTTATAACCAAATACTGTACAATAATATATAACTACAGAACTTCATTATGAAGCTTGTCTAAATTTCCCATTGCTTTCTCCTGCCTCTGTGTCCCAAACACCAGACTTCAGTTTCAAACGATGACAAGATACTTTGCCTTTTATTTTAAAACTTCCCTTGCCTTTCAAAAAAAAAAAAAAAAAAAAAAAAAAGTAAAAAGAGTGTTCTACAGAAAATTTTATGACTAGATTGCTCTATCATCATGGTGCAAATCTGTTCAAAATCTGACACACGTCTTGCAAGGCTCACCTTTGTCATGACTTTTAGAAATGGGAGAATTAAAACCAGGTAGCAGTAAACATAATACGGATATTGAAAAAGAAATCTGGGGGTTGGATTTTTGCTGAATCAGTGTTATCTTGGAATGTTTCATATGTGATCTGAAACACCAGAAATGCAAGTCAGAATAAAAATGAAAAAAGGGGTAACAGTTCTTGCCACATTTCTCATCTGTCTCTGGATCTTTATCCGTCACTCAACCAGCCTCATCTCCATTCTCCCCATAGGTCAGGTGGCAAAGCTTGCTTGTGACCTGAACCATGCATGTTCGTCCCAACCATTTCTTAAAAAAACCTTGCAGCTTTGCAACTAGTAATTACCACAATCACAAAATGCTTTTAAATGTAATCAAAACCACATTTGCATATACCATTCTTCAGGGCTAAATAATGTAGGATCACACTATTTTCCATGAAATTGTTTAATTTTTTTGTTATACACAGGATATGCTCACCTTCTTCAACTATCACAGCAGGGAAATTCCTTGTCCTAGGACATTGTTGGTGCAAAATATTTACATAAAATTTTAAAAGGAATTGGAAAAATTCACAGCAGAAAAATCACAACTTATTTATTAAAGACATGGTCTCTGATCAGGGAGGTCTCCAAGTTGCAGATGTCTATATAAAGACAGAATTTATGAAAGTATAACCTATCTGCTTCCTTGTACAATTGCTCTTTCCTGGACATATGCCATGGCAGATGGGATAATGCATTCAATGGACTGACCAAGCAGAGTATTTCTCATGACTGGAAGAATACCATCTTCATTCCAACTCATTTCTCAAGAATAGATGGAGAATGAAACAGCAAATCAAGGAAATGGGTACATGCAGATGACCAAACCACACCAGTCAGGCTAGCCAAAACAATCTTTAGCTTAGGGGTCATCATCTGCTATGCTGCTTCCTTATGGGTCCTCAGGTTGGAGAAATGAACCAGATCAAAGGCTGTACGTCAATTGCTTTGGAAGCCCTTTTTCTCTTATTTGCGAGTCCTTCCTGTCACATGCTTGTGTGTCATGACATGAGTGTTAGGACCAAAACACAGGCATCGACATGGACACCCATTCATACAATGGGAACATACCTACCAATTGCAATACACAGCATGTCAGTAGCCCAACACAGCACAGATCCATTCCCATTAAATGATAGAATGGCGCCAGTCTAGTCAAGTGACAGATCCATTTCTGGGCACAACAGAAGAATTGCAAGTTTTCTATAGCCTGGAGCACCACTTGAAAAGGCTATGAGGAACACCATGGCTAGAAGGTATCACTGTGCTAAAACAAGTCAAGCACACTTGACAGGACGTGTGAAAAACAGACCATACCATGGATGGATGAAACATGGTACACAGGAATTTCTGATTGTTGATGTGATACCTGCAGATTTGAACGGATGTGACTAACAGTTCCCCCTTCCACACAAGAAACATAATGCCATGGACATCAGTAACACTAAGTTCATGAGACAGCAGGTTTGTTATTGAACCATTTGGTAGAATCCTAGTTGTATATCCTCAATTTGCACACCTGCAGAAGTGATGCTAGATCTAAGTTTTTCCAACACAGTAACAAAACTAAACTTGATAAACAGAGTGCTGCTATTTTAGTACGCTAGTTTCTGTTTAAGTTCAACCTGATGAGTAAAACCCCTTGAGCCATCATTCTGAAATAGCACAAATTCAAAACCAGCATTAACTTAAAGTATCAACCAACTCTTGTCCTAGAGAGTTATCACAGCAAAACTCAGAGCTGTATTAAAAAAGTTGATGCTCAATGTAAATTTCTTCCAGACATCATAAAAGGTGTCTTGAGACTGAAATAAGGCTAACAGTGAAGGTGTCACCGAACAACTGTATTCATTGATAGCCTGTATTTACATGACAGAACCCTTTACTTCACACAGATTTCCCACATACATGCACACCTTTGCAAATAGTTTGCAACTGAAGAAAAAAAGTGGGCTGTTCATCTAATCAATAATGCCATGTCATGCATGGAGCTACTGCATAAATCCCGAGCAAAAGATGTCAAGCACGTCCCACTCCAATGATTATCAGGCAACGAAGTAAAAAGATGCACTTTTCATCTCCACAGGACTGTTGCCAAATCCTTGATGTAATAAATGAAACATGCCTGCTATTTCACCATTGCAAAATGGTACTGTAGATATCTTACAACATCTCTGTTTGCAGGAGGGGGTAACTAGCTCTAGATGAAGTGCAGATATGTTATTAAACAACGCACAGCTTGAATCCTGGGGCCAACGTAGATGACCTTTAGAACATAAGCACTGTCTAAGACAAATATGCTTTCATCTTTGGGGAGTATTTTTTCAAGTAAAGATTTAAGAGAAAAACAGTTTAGAAATAGGTTAAGCACAAATGTGCCTTCAATCTCTTAATGCTTCATTTTAAAAACAAAACCACAAGTGGTATCACATGTCAGGAGAAAGACTAAGTACACTTTAAGCAGAAAATTAGTGAATTTAGTGAGATGTAGCTTTGTTTTCATTTAAACACAATAATTAAAGCACAGAGAAAGGAGACACACGATGTAACTGAGATCCAAAATTGGAGGTATGAATAAAGTGATTCAGGAAAAAAAGGCTTGTATTTTTATTACAAGTCTATAAAAACAAAAGATCGTTATTTCACTTTAGAATCCCTTAAGTGGGATGAAAACACAAAAATATAACAAAACCACACAGAGACATGTAAAACATAATCCATCTCTAAAACCATTTTCCTTAAGTGAAATAGCAAATAATACAAAAGAAAAAAAAGTAATTTCTCATTTTGCACTTAACAGGCTGTTATCATTTATGTTCAGTAAGGTGTTTTTTTCAGAGTTATGTCTTGACTATGACACTAAGCAGCTTTAACACATACAGTGATATTTGCTTCATGGAAAAGGGCAGCATTGGTATGATAAAATTCCTTCCCCCACAAACTATGGTTTGCAGATTCTGACAAGTTCTGAGCTGCTCTGCACAGCCTGTTTTTCCATCAAAGTTAGTGGCAAACTATCAAAACACCCTATGACTGCAAAGCACTTTCCAGGATGGAACCTCCTGTGCCTGAAAAGCCTGTATGACACATTGGAATCCTCAAACACAGTGGGCTTGTTATGTTTTGGTGGTTTGGTTTTTTAAAAAAAGATTTCATTTCTTACCTCAAATTCAGCATGGCGGTTAATATCCTCTGCTCTCTGTCTACTCAAGATAAATTCTGCTTCATTTGCCACTCTTACCAAATGGTCCTTCATGGTTTGACTCAGCAACCTGAGGACAGACAATATTTAAGAACTGCCTTGAGAGAATGAAGTCCTAAAATAAAAATCTGTAAATACAATATATAGACAAATATTTTGAGCTCTGTTCCATAACTGACTTTATTGTGTTAAGAAAATAGTATAAATAAGGTTGAAGAGTAATTTTCTGGCAACTAGTAAAATTGTATTTCAATAGTAAAGCAAACGAAGTATTAAACAAAATGTAAACACTCTAGACAGTCATTTGTTTTACCTGAAATATAGGTATGTAAGAAAATCTTTCACATACACACAACACAATATAAAGAAAAGTAAGCAGTTTATGCATATAAACATCCACGGTGAAAGCCCTAATCTAACTGATGTAAAGTCTAAATAAAAAATTGTGAATTGCATTGCAGTATAGTTTTTTTCTTCAAATGTAAAATTGGAATTTTATGGTAAGTATACATTTAAGTAATATTTTCAGGATTATAAAACATCGTCAGTCTCACAAATGAAATGCTAAGATATACATTGTTCCAGGTTATGTACAGAATAAAGCTGTAATTCAATCTGAGGTTTCTGAGGCCTTCATAAACCTTGAGTTTATGAATGGCAGCAGAGCTGACAGATTGAATTACAACCCAATTATTATGTGAGTTCACATATTGTTACTAAAAACATCTCCTTTTTAATTAGTTACATTGGGATTCATAAAGTTAAAACTGGCTACACAGGAGCTACACTGTTTTAGAAGGTGCACATTTCCATAGGATCACCCAAAGATACACCAGACAAATCTATTACATGCTCTACTGGTTAGTTTTTAAAAAAAAAAAAAAGCTTTAATAACAGATATTTTTAAAGTTTTCAGTTGCTAATGTAGAAAAGAGTAGCAGAACATAAAATCACTTATTTGCCTTGCACGTATAAGCTAAAGTACATTTCAACAAGGTCAGAGTCCACCGAGAGCCTTTCTTTACAACCACAGGATTTATTATACAGGATGCCTTCTAATGTATATAATGTTAATTTTATCCCCTAGAACTTATTTATCTGAACTAAGGCTCCACCTGTCTCTATCTGTATGTTTGATAGTTTGATCATCAATGCTCTGCTGTCTCTTCTCCTATGCTATTCACAATTCCACACTTGCAGTGGACTTGCAGGTCACAAGCCTACTCCAATGAGACGAAATCCAGAAGCAGAACAACACCTGAAGCTCTTTGTTCATTGTCTTTCTCACTACAAGGCTAGGAAAACTGCAGCACAACAGCTAAATAAGACTATGTGATCATGAACCAGTTAAGTCAGTGGGTTACTATCTCCCCATGGATGAAGTCTTGAAAAAAAAGAAATATGCACAATTTACTTGAAGCATGACTTCACCTTCCATTTGAGAAGGCTTGTACAAAAGCTACTGTTTTAGAATCACATTTTCTTTTATTTTTTCTATTTTAAGTCACCTCTAGAATGGAAGTAGCTGTTGACCAACCAACATAGAATTTGGCCAACTTATCTGTGTGCATTAGTGACAAACTTTTACTTTCAAAAACCTGCAGAACCAACATTGTTGCAATAATGTAATTACAATTTCATAACTTTTCATGGCTTCAAAAAAAATTGGGAAAATAAACTAGTTAAAAAGGCATTGTTCATACACTGAAAAAAGAAACCCCAGACCTCTGTCTCTAATAATTTACAATAATGTTCAGCTAAAAATAAATCCCTACTAATAAACCAGCAACAAGAAACTTTGCATAACCAATTTCATAGTCTGGGCAAATTCCAAGCATTTGATTCCCCTCTTTCTCCAAGATCCCCAGTAGCACATTCAAATCTGTCACATAAGCATTTAAATAAACATCTTTTTATTAAACTAAGAACTGTCTAAAAAAATATGGGGATCATAAATACTCATGTATTACAGTATCTTGTATTACAATTTACAATTTAACACAGTTAGTATCTCATTATTTTCATTGAGTGTGTCAATACCAATACCTTCTGCTAACCTGATCGGACTTTGAAAAATACTAGTTATCCTCTAAAAGTCCCACTTTTTTCATGTGTTCAAGAAAGCACCCTATATAATAATCGTTTTTAACAATTTACAACATGGATTTTCTTTTTTATCCACTAAACATAACCAGTAAGCAGCCCACTACATAACTGACTGTACACTGGCATTTACTATGCATTTGCAGAGATGATGGACGTATTCCAAACACAGCAAGGAACTACATTCCCTCACATAGGAACAACATTCTCAAAACAGACTATAAGGGTACCTAGTAAAACCAAATAGCTTTTGAGTATCAGAAAGAGCTTGGTCTCCTATGGATCAGTTGTCACTTTTGTCACCCCCACCTCTCTTTACTAATCCCACACACTTTCCTCATTTTCTCTATGATATTCAATACAGGGTTAGGCCAGCTAAATAAAACTTACACATGATTTTGCAAATCAATCCTTGTTGAATTTGTCATTTTGGCAACCAAAAATTCTTACGGCTAACAACTAAGGAACTGTCCAAGTTTAGCATAAGCACCTAGTGGTAACTTCAAGCTGCTTTCAGAAAAAGGCAAAAGCTTCATATTATTAGGTATCAATTATTATACAATTACTTCCCTTCTTGCAAATTGCCAAACTCAGCAACTGAAGGTCTTCAGGAGGTGAGAATAAAAATTATTTACTAATACAAATGAAGCCTATATGAAATAATTTACTGGCTTATACCATGACAGCTGTGTTGATTATTTACATTCAAGAAATTAGAATTTTAATCTTTCTTTTCAGTCACCTCTTCCAAACACTGCATATGCTCAGATTGACTTCCTTCTAATAAACAATTCAAGTTGTATCATTACCTAGGTCAGTTTGGATTTTCTTTGTGAGAACAGTATCCACACACCTAGCATGACACTCAATTGCTATTTTCAATGTACCTCTTTAATGTAGAACTTAAACTAAATATATTTCTATACATAAATGTAATGATGGCATGATTTAACAGAGTCTATAGCCATCACTAAAAATCAAAGGTGAATACAAGCTCTCAGCATCTCTATAAATGAACACACCTCCACTTATATGTCTAAAATGAAGTTTTAATCATCTGCTTCTAAACACTAATTTTGGGAACCTTGGCAGCTGCTACTTTTCCATGTGAGGCAAACAAAACGCTGAACAGAAGTGTAGCTAGTTGCCTGCAATAGAAACAACTGTTTCCAGCTGAGCAGACCACTGCTGAGGCCAGCACAAGAATCCGACTCTTGCAGAAGTATTAGTTCAACTCCAAACTACATACATACATTTTGTACATATGTGAGAGGCTATAAACTGTATTAACTAGATCAGGTAACTTTATGAGAGACAAATGCTTTCTTCTAAAGAAAAAAAAAAGTTTAGAAAAATCTTATTTTCCTAAGACAGTAAATACACTTCATGGATTTAAAGGATCATAATGGTCCTCTCTGGTACTTGCTCTGGCCTCCTACACAGAATTGATCATGCCTGTTTTCCCCAAAATAATTTCATTTCCTCCATCAAGTCTGTATCTTCTGTTTGAGCTACATCATTGCTTTCAGAAAGATGCCCCAACTTTTTTTTTTTTTTAAATCTGACTTTTACACCATGTTTCCCATAAAGTTTTATAATAAGGTACTTAGTGCCAATTTAAAAAAAAAAAAAAAAAAAAAAAAAAAAACAAAACCAAACCATGACTATTTCTTGTCTGCTTTTATCCTGTTTTTTATTCCAGCAACTACATCACATTAATTCTTTTTCTGTTAAATAAAGAGTCTATCCAAAACATCTCCTTATACTTTTTTTCACAGCAAAAGGATAGCTTTTCATTTCCTTGACTAAATAAACAGATTGATTGAATTTCTTGTCTTTTTCAAAGTATGCACACCCAAGCTGAAAAAAAAAACTGAAGTCTAATAATTTCCTTCTTGCCTATGCTTCATAATCTCTGTATGCAGAACCATAGACCATGTTTGCCTTATACTACTATCTCACATATCTGTTTATTTTTTACAGTGTTATTAAACAACAAAATGCTGTTGAATGCAGTGATTTACACTTGTCCTTCCCTGACAGATTCCCTTCTGGTTTGGCTTTATTTATGACAAGTTATTGAATTAAGATTTTTTTTTGATCTTCAACATGAGAAGAGTGTGGATGGACATGTTCTGTAGAAGTTAGACCATAATACCTATGGTAGTAAAGACTCTGGATACCAGGCCTAATCTTCTGTTTTCAGTGCATACCAGATGCAAGGTCTCAAACAGACTTTTCTTCCTTTGTCTAAGCACTAAGCACTTTCTGGACTAAAATATTTAAAAACATGTGATTACTTTTGAAAAGATGAACAACCTAGTAAAAACAAGCAAGGGGACAGATCCCATGCTGGAAGTTAAATATATACTTGCATATTTTGCTGGGTCAGGAATGAAGTGCGAAACCACTGAGAGGAGGAGTTCCAGCCAAATACATGAGATATTTTGATTTTTATTGTTATGCTGGAAGAGAAAACTACGAGACACAAAGCAAGAAATCTTCTTACTCTGATTTCTGGCTGCTGAATGCTTAGACAATCAAGTAAGAAGTCAAGTTTCTCCTTAAAACAACCAAAAATGTGAAGGTACAAGAGGGGAAAAATGTAACAGAAAAATATGTGCAAGCAAAGAAAGTGAGAGATGGATAAATTTTGGGTTAGTATCGCTGATGTCCAACAATTATAAATTCTAGTCAAAATATGGAAAAAGCTTTACAGGTGACATTTACAACAGCTGTTTAGGCATAAATCTCTTGTAAAGTACTCCAGGGAGAGATTATGTATGTTCCAGATGCTACCACAACAGAGAACTCTGACATAGCCAAGAAAGGAGGATAAAGGTAAGCTTTCCTACTTGCACTCCTCATAAACCTAGCATATAAGAGATTCTCTTACTTCAAAAGGAGATATGTTCTACACCAATATACACTGTCTTTTATGGGATCTGACTGCTCAATGTGCTAAGG